AATTAGTAAGATCACTATTAAATAATAATAAAAAAGTAAGTGGTTACCAGAGCCAGACCAGGAATAAGATTAGGGGGTGGAGACGAGCAGTGGGTTTGGCGTAAGCGTGGCAGGGATACGTCTGTCCCGCTCTTCCCCCAGCAGGTCTCCTTCCTGCGGCCCAGACGCAGTCCTACCAGGCACCCGCTCGCACATGTTGATGTGTTGCTGATGGATGGGGGCACATCCACTGCATGGTTTCTTTGAAACACTACTTCCCAAAGTGTGGGCTCCAATCCATTTACATCAGAATCCCCCGCATGCTTATTGAAAATGCATAGTTTAAAGTTCTGTTAAGATCGGCTAAATCCTAAATGCTGGCTGTGGGCTTGAGGGATCTGAATGCTAAAAAGCACATTAAAATTTGAGAATCACTGCCTTCGAGTAATGTGTGAAAAAAATGGAGGGAAATCCCTTCTGGCACCAAGCATCTAAGAAGGAAGAAGGAGTCTGAATTCTTGGTAAAGAAAAGGGAAGTAAGCGAGCTTGCCTCGTTCACAGCTTGCCTTAGGTTTTACCACAGTTCTGACTAGTGTGGATTTAAGCCAGACTAAAGTGTGCTCTACAAACATGTGCTGCATAATACTGGTGACTGTGTTACAAACCTCAAAAGTGAGACTGCTTCTAAGTCAATTCTGTCAGCGCCAGGGATGCCAAAGATGAAGCCTGCAGCTTCCTAAACGAGCCAGGCAGGTAAACTAAGAGTCAACATACGGAGGGTCCACAGTGAGATACCACTTGACTCCCTGCTAGGATGGTTATAATAAAGACAGACAATAACAAGTGTTGGCAAGGATGTGGAGAACTTGGAACTCTTATACATTGCTGGTAATGTAAATTGCTGGAATGTAAAATGATGCACCTCTTTGGAACACATTTTGGCAGTTCCTCAGAAAGTTAAACATAGAGTTACTATGTCATCCAGCAATTCTACTCCTAGGTATACACTCAAAAGAATTGAAAACACATCTTCACATAAAACTTGTACACAAATGTTGATAGCAACATTGTAATAGCCAAAAAGTAGAAACAACCAAAATGTCCATCAATTGAAGAATAGGTAAACAAATATGGTATATTCATACAATGGACTATTATTTAGCAATAAAAGTAAATGAAGTATTGATACATGCTACAACATGGAAGAACCCTGAAAACATTATGCTAGGTGAAATAAGCCAGGTACCAAAGAACATCTATATTATTCCATTTATATGAAACATTCAGAATAGTCAAGTCCACAGAGACAGAAATTATATTAGTAGTTACCAGGGCTCCTTTTGGAGGTGATGAAAATATTCTGGAATTAGTAGTGGAATTAGATAGATTGCACAGTTCTGTGACTATACTAAAACTACTGAATTGTACACTTTAAGAGTGAGTTGTGTATGTGTGAATTATATCTCAATTTGAAAAAATGGTGAAAGAAATGTCCAAGAAAAAAGTAGTAAATTTGACTACATAAAAAAAAAAAAAAATGCGTTGTGATTACTTATAGGAAAAACTCACTTCTGTTCTCTTCTACTCACACTCATAACACTTCTGACACCACGTCAAGCAATTCTGTGACACCAGCTGAGTGTTCTATAATTCAGTTCAGTTCTGACTCTAACTACATGATGTTAGCATAATATCGCATAGGTTTAAGATTCAGTCCCACAAGTCTGTTCCCCACTTTAGAATGTCAACTGTGGTAAGTCCAGGTTGTCACTGTCACTTCTGACCAACTAGCTATAAATCAGGGGTTCCCATGACCCCCTTTCTCAGGTGCAATTATTTGCTAGAGCAGCTTACAGAACTCAAGAAAACAGTTTATTTACCAGATTACTGGTCCATTATAAAAGGATATAACTGAGGAACAGCCATAGGAAAGAGATGCACAGGGTGAGGTCCAGAAGGGTCCCAAGTGTAGTAGCTTCTGTCGCTGTTGAGTTTAGGTGCACCACCCTCCGGGCACGTGGATATGTTCACTACCCAGGAGTTCTCCAAACCCTGTGTTTTGAGAAATTTTATGGAAGTTTCATCACATGGGCATGATCAATCATTAATTCAATCTCCAGCCCCCTCCACTTCTTGGAGGATTGGGGAGTGGAGCTAAAAGTTCCAACCTTCTAATAATCATGCCTCGGTTGGTCTTTCTGGTGACCAGCTCTCATCCCGAAGCTATCCAGGAGCCCACCAAGAGTCCTCCTTAGAACAAAAGAGACTGCTATCAGCCAGGAAATTCCAAGGGATTTAGGAGGTCTGTCAAGAACCAGAGTCAAAGTTCAAATATTAGAACAAAAGATGCTTGCCCCAGCTGGTTTTGCCCAGTGGTTAGATCGTCGGCCTGCGATCCGAAGGGTCCCGGGTTCAATTGAGACCAAGGGCACGTATCTTGGTTGCAAATCAGTGCAGAAAAGGTGGACTTGTTAATAAGTGGTGTTGGTTTGACTGAAGTCCATATGAAAAAAGATAAAATTGAAATCACTTTTGATATTATATACTATTATTTACAAAAATGAAACCATAAAATACTAGAAGAAAATATAGGCCTCAGTAACCTGGAGTGGTAAAAATCTTCTTCCAAGGAAGATCAAGAAATTTGGCTGTTGGCATTTAGTCAAGCCTCTAGTTTTAACAATCAGCTTACAGGAAATATAGGAGATAAAGGAATCTGTTCAACAACAGGCACCACAGGGTACAATCAGCAAATCTAGAATGTGGTTACCTCAGATTTGTTCTACTGCTTTGTGACCAGCTTTCTTTAACAAATAAATGCCCCACCCTACACTCTCTCCCTCCAAAGGTACCCCAAAGGAGGAAGGGGTACTTTTAGATTAAAAGAGACTCGAAGGACAGACACATCAACCAAATGCAATATGTGGATCTTATTTGTACCCAATTAAAAAAAAAAAAACTTTAAAAAGCAATTTTTAAAACAAATGAAGAAATTCAAACCCTGTGTGGATATTGGATAATTTTAAAGAATTATTAATTTTATTAAGTGCAATAATGGAAATATGTTTATGTTAAAAAGAGGAGGCCCTGTCTCTTAGAGAGAAAGATAGAACTTTTTACAGATGAAATGGTCAGATCTTTGGAATCTACTTTAAAATAATGCAGTAAGGGTATGTGGGGGGGGCAAATAGGAGGTATAAATGAAATAAAATGGCACATTTCTTAATAATTATTAAAGCCAGTACATGACAAGTATGTGAAGATTTATTATACTATTCTGGTCACTTTGGGGTAAATCTGAAAATTCCCAGAACCACTGAGCCCTTTTTGGCAGGAGAATGCCAAGATAAAATTGGCACCTGAGGAGGTGTAGCCCTGGGACTAAGAAGACTATATAGGGTGCTGCCAGGGAGGTTAACAGCGTCAAAGGACTAAACTCTGAAAGTGTCCTTGGGGGTGGAGGGGAGGGCCTGGATATGGACAGTGTGAAAGAGAACAGTATAACTTGACCTATTGGTTGAGAAAGCTAAATAAATGGGAATCAGGAATGACTCTCAGGTTTCAGGCTTAGATGGCTGCATGGTGGGGCCATTCACCAAGCAAAGGAATTCAGAAGGGATTAAAGTTAAGGGTGAAAGGAGTGATAGATTTGATTTCTGACAGTTGCATTTGAGGTGCCTATGGAATATCAGAGCTCAGGAAAGAGGCCTGCACTGGAGATGGGTTTTTGGCAGTTATCAGCTGCAACATAATTTCCATGGAAACATGTAAAGTGTAGGCACAAGAAAATGTTCCCTTCATGTGCAAGCACTTATCAAATTAATAAATTACTATTGGACTGTTTAAACATCAAAAAATCAAAGTGGCTTAATCAAGAAGAAAAATATAAAAAAACCAAATAGTAGTATATGACATCCAGGCTATTCTGTTTCCTCTCAATTTCCATTTTGAGTATGTGACAGATCTTGAAGGTTTAATTGCAGGATTGTCTTGTTTCACAGACAATCCCCCTGCCTCTCCCCCAATAATGAGTTTTCAAGAGAATACAGGCTTTAATACAGTGGAGGGGGTCTCATGTGAAAGATCAAATTGTGNTTTCTCTCCCCCAATAATGAGTTTTCAAGAGAATACAGGCTTTAATACAGTGGAGGGGGTCTCATGTGAAAGATCAAATTGTGCTTTTGCTTTTTTACCTTGCCTTTCTTCTATTTTGCTCTTTCCATGTTGACTATGATATTACAAAAACTAAAGAAAAACACCCAAACCATCTAGGTCTCTAGGGCTGCAGTTCAATTTCCTGTCTTTAAAACAGCCGTGATAGCGGTAAATCCTTGTCAGAAGGAGCCACGGAGCCACTGATACAAAAAAGCAGTTTGTGTCAGGGATTGATTTATGCCTTGGAGCAGGGCAAAGAGAAGAAAACTCAGCCCCTATGGCATTTGTTGCTGGGGAAGCATCAGGCCATCTGCCAGGCTCTAATAAAAGATGACAATAACATTTTGGTTTGAAGCACAGAATGATTTTCCAAAGTGAAAATAAAGTTTGTCAGCAACTGAGGCTCTTGCAGGTCTTTTTTTTTTTTTTAATATATTTTTATCTTTAGCATTTATATTCAAATAAAAAGTAAAGGACATTAATATCTTTCTTTTTCTGCTCTGGGCTTATTCTCAAAATCTTGTGTTGACTGCCCAATTCAAACTCCTCAGCTTGCCCTATGAAGCCTCCATAATTTAGCTTCACCCAAGACTACTTAGATCAGAATTTGGACAGATCGGACCCAGGCATCAGTTCTTTAAAAAACCTTCCCCTTTAAAGTTCACATAAGAGCTCTGCAATTGATGTTGAGATCCACTGTGGTTACAATATAAGTGGGGAAAATACAGCTGAGGAGTGTGGATTATCCATGGTCAGAAGTAAATGTGAGACTAGAGTTTTTCAGAGCTTCGGGTGGCAGCGAGGATGCGTGTGTGTGCGTGTATGTGCCTGAGGGATGTGCCTTACTTCTCTCTGCCCGGCTGCAGGTCAGTGCCGTGCGGGTGTACGTGAACAGCTCTTCAGAGAACCTTGACTACCCGGTCCTGGTTGTGGTTCGCCAGCAGAAAGAGGTGCTGTCCTGGCAGGTGCCTCTGCTCTTCCAAGGACTGTAAGTGGGGTTTTCCCCAGACAGCTTCACTACATCGGTTTCTTTCAGTGGCCTAGATCTTATTGGTCTTTGCCCTAGTGAAATGAGAACTGACATTTGCAGTGTTGACATATTATGCATGCTCAGTGCAAATGCCAGTCGTGGTGCATACCCTGTTGTGTTCAACTCTGGTCAATGTCCATTCCCGTTGAAGTTCACACAAGGACTCTGCCTAGATGTGTAGCACCTGGAAGAACATTTACCATTGTAATTCTATTCAGAATTAAATAAATGTTCTATAGCTCTTGATTGGTTAGTGGGTCATCCTCTGAGGACAGGGCTAGGCCCAGCAGTCAACTTCAGTGAGAGGCACTTCTTTCATCTTTCTTTCTTTTTTTTTTTAAATATATCTTTATTGATTTTCGAGAGAGGAAAGGAGAGGGAGAGAGAGAGGTAGAAACATCAATGATGAGAGAGTCATTGATCGAGCCCGCAACCGGGCATGTGCCCTGACCAGGAATCGAACCCTGATCGCCTGGGTCCCAGGTCGACGCTCAACCGCTGAGCCACGCCCGGCCGGGCCTTCTTTCATCTTTCAAAATGCCCCCCGAGTGTGCACTCTTCATTCCATAATATTTATTGAGCACAATTAGGTGATCGGTGCTGGAGATACAATGGGGGTGGGGTGGGGGAAAACAACAAAGTTCCCTGCCTTTATGGGTTTATATTTTCACAGGCACTATAGGACTATAAGAAAAAAACCAGAGGCCACTCACAGATGGACATGGAGTGTGTGTTAAATTGTTTGTAAAAGTTAGAAATTTGAGAATTAAAATACTGACTTGGGCTCTGGGGCTTTCTTTATGTTCCATTTAGCAAAAGCTTGAAGGATGGAAAATGGAATCACCTGGTTGTTTTATCGGACAGTTTCCCTTTTATAATTTGAAATTTTTCTTCATTGAATTAGGAGGATGGTTTAGTACAATGTAGGCACTGCCTGAGTGAACAGGTCGGCACTAAGCAGACCTACATCCCTGTTACTATGTCAGAGCCCTACACAAAAACACTGCTTCTAAAATCACTGTCAATAGGTCCGGTCTGAAATTTAAAATATAAGGGCTTGAAACAAATTCGGGGAGAAGTGAATTGTAGTAAGATTCTTTCCCTGCTTGTTCATTTAGTCTCTCTCTCATTCTGGCTGGTTTTTCCCTCCATTGGCCGCTACAGATACCAGAGGACCTACAACTACCAGGAAGTGAGCCGCACCTTATGTCCCTCAGAAGCCACCAATGAAACAGGACCGCTGAAGCAACTGATATTTGTAGATATAGCATCAATGGCACCCCTGGGTGCCCAGTACAAACTGCTTGTTACCAAGATCAAGCACTTCCAGCTACAGTAAGCAGACTCTCTGAGGCCTTTCTCTGTTCACTCATCTGTTCTTCCTGTGTGTGTGCATGCTCCGTCCAGCTTCCTGCCTTACAGATCCCCTCTCTAGAAAGAAATTATGTCATTGGCATATTATCTTAGCGCTTCCTGACCTCTCCTGCTCACAGCTGGGCAGCAGAGCCTTATATGTTCTGTGCAATAGGGAGGCAGTAGGAGACTGGTGCAGGAGGAAGGGTGGCTGACATCATAGATGTCTGTTCTTGGGGTCTGGGTGAGGGCCCTGTCCTGTCTGCAGTCCAGGCAGGAGTCACTGGTGACTGGGTATTACTCACCAGCGCCACTCTCCTGAAGGAAATTTTGTTTTTGTTTTAAGGAAGACCTTAAATTATTTTTTTCTATCTTTATTGCTATTCCAGTTTTTTCCTTCCAGGTTAGGAATGTACATAGGTTTTAAAATAAGTTTTAAATGAAAATACAGGGTGGGGCAAAAGTAGGTTTATATTTGTAAGTACATGAAACACAGACTTTATTCTTGTATTATATGTTAATTGTTGTATTACTTTCCATAAGCACTGCAAACCTAATTTTGCCCCACCCTGTATTGTTAAATTGGTTATATAAAACTTAGAATTTGTACTCATCTAAAGCATCATTAGGAGAACAAAAAGATAAGCCACAGACTAGGAGAATATATTTCCAACACGCATAATGACAAAGAGCTCATATGCAGAATATATGAAGAATCCCTACAAATCAATAAGAAAAAACAGGCCAACTCCTGGCTGCTGTACCCATTTACCACCTACCTTTCTGTGGTTCTGGCTGCTAGTGGGCAAGAACCTTGGAGCCTATGAGTCTGGACACTGCTCTGGGTGTATGTCAGACACAGGTCTCAGACTCAGCTTCACTGGAACAAATAGGTTTTCTTAGGCAAAAATGAGGTGATCTCAGGAGCAGAAACTATACTTGAGAAAACAATTCTGTGACCTAGAGAAAGAAGAGTCTCAGAAGGATAATCAGTGTTTATAATTACCCAGTGGGGGGGATACGTATGTATAATATAAATGGACTCAAATATGCCAAGAAAGGAATAGAATGCCAAGTGGGATTTTTTCTAAAACAAGAAACTAAATATTTGTTGCTTACAGAAGTATGACCTTAAATTAAAAAACATATAAATGTTGTAGATAAAAAAAACAGAAAGAAAAAGAAACCACCACACTGACACTAACCAAAAGAAAGTTAGTGTAGTATATCAATATTATACAAGATAGTTCTTAATGCAAGAAACATTATTAGAAATAGAGGGACATTTCATATTTCTAAAAGAATAATTCACTAGGAAGACTTAAATTTAAACTCTATATTTGTATGCATCCAGTAACATAAGTTCAATATACAAAACAAAAATTACAGAATAAAAAGAGCTGGACAAATGCACATTCTTTGTGGGAGACTTGTCTACAGCTGACAAAATAAGCAGAACAAAAATGTTAAATATATATATATATTTGTATATACATATATACAGTAATTAGATGGAACAGGCATTGGCAAGCTATGGCTCACAGGCTGGCCACTGGTTTTTGTAAATAAAGTTTTACTAGAACACAGCCCTGTCCATTCATTTACATATTGTCTATGGTTGCTTTCATGCTATAATGGCAAAGCTGAGTAGCTGGGACAGGGACATTATGGCCTGCAAGCCTAAAATATTTGCTCTCTGACCTTTAAAAAGTTTGCCAACTCCTAATATAAAAGAACAGACACATGATTAACAAATTTGAATTAAGTAATCTTTTTAGAGAACTGCATCCCAAAATGGTAGAATGCCTAAACCTTTTCACGTGCACGTGCAACATTTACCAAAATTGCCNGAAAAAGTTTGCCAACTCCTAATATAAAAGGACAGACACATGATTAACAAATTTGAATTAAGTAATGTTTTTAGAGAACTGCATCCCAAAATGGCAGAATGCCTAAACCTTTTCACGTGCACGTGCAACATTTACCAAAATTGCCAAGTTCTATAATGCATATCTTGATAAATTTCAAAGGACTGAAATCCTTTATATGGAATTGAGAGAGAAATAAACCACAAGATGACATATAAAAAATCACAAATGTTTAGAAATTAAGTAGTCTACTTCTAAATAACTTATGAGTCAAAGAAGAAATCACAATGAAAATTAGAAAATATTATGAACAAATAATAATGAAAATATGAGATATTTAAACTTCTGGGATGCAACTAATCATTGCTTGAGGAAAATATATAGCTTCAAATGTATATGTTAGAAAAGAAAAATGGCTGAAAATCAGTGTGTTAAGTATTCATTTCACAAAGTTGGAAAAGGAACTGAAAATAAAACTCAAATAAAATAAAAGGAAGTGATAAAATAAAAGCACAAAAAATGAAATCGAAAATAAATCCACCATGGACAAAATGAACCAAACCACAAGTCAATTATTTGAAATGGCTAGTATTTTTTATACCTGTTTTTTAATAAATAAAAATGACAGGCAAGCCCATTAAAAAAAATTTAGCAATAGAGTTGAATAGATACTTAACCAAAGAAGCTATTCAAATGATCCAAAAACACAACCTCACTAGCTGTCAGCAATACAAATTAAAATGATAGCAAGATTTCACTACAGCTACCAAATTGCTATAATTTGAAAGGATTGACAATGCAGTTCTACTCCTAGTAATATACCCAACTCCTAGATATATGATTGTGGTATTTATTTACTAGAATATCACACAGCAATAAAAATGAACAGACCATTGCTATGCCCACCAACGTGGAAAAAAATCTCACAAACACAGTGTTGAGCTAAAGAAGCCAGACAAAAGGAATCCATACTGTTGATTTCTTTTATATAAAATGTAAAAACAGGCAAAGCTATCCTGTAATTTAGAAGCCAAGAGAGTGGTATCTCTAGGAAGGAAAGAGGAAGTGCATGGTTATGTTCGCCTGGTGATAATTCATTCAGATATATGCTTATGATTTGTGCACTTTCCTATGTGTGTTATACTTCAATGCATTTTTAAAATCAGAATATTTAAACATAGTATATACTACTTTTTTGCAGCTTATTCTCTGATCAGAATATTTTGTTCTATTATTACAAAGTGCTCCTTTTGTATAAATTTTTGAAAGCAATTTATAAAGAAGTCTGTAGCCCACAGAGGTGCTAAGAGGAATCAAATGTTTATTTTGGTCTTCTCTATACCCCTTAACAGTATATACCCAGAGAGACAGATGAACAGATGGATGAATGAATGGTCAGAAGGGTGGAGAATTAGTCATAGCATTTTTTCCAAGTCCTCCATTTATTTTGGCAAAGAAAAAGACGACATGATAATTCAAGAGCAAAGAACTACCCTCCTACCCACCACCACCCCAAAAAAGACAAGAAAAGATTTTCTGTTGGATAAGATCCACCCAGATCAGTTAACTCAGAGTCTCTATGAGGGAGGTTTGAGCATTAGTATATATTTTCTTAGTTTCCTAGGTGATTCTAATGTGCAGCTGGAAGTGAGAACCACTACCTTGAAGCAATTTTTAAATATTGCGCTTATGTTTAATTGCTTTTAATAATTAAACCTATTTATGATGTTAAACAACATGAGAATTCATGGTTATACATTTGAAGGAGGTGGCAGCATATTACTTGAACAAAGCTCCGTTCCAACTTTCAGCCTTGCCTTTACTAATTGGTTTCTGTGTCTTTGACCTGTCACTGTCACCTGGAGGCAGTGTACTTAAATTCTGGGGCCAGTTTTCTGTGAGGTTAATTAGACCATTTGGAGAACTGAATTCTGTGAAACTGAAGTCATAAGATCACAGCTCTGTGCAAGTGTTAACGAATGATATGCATGCTCGCAAAACCGCAAATCTATTCCCCCACTTTGTTTTCTGCTTCCACCTCTTGTAATGTGACTTGACCTCAGGAATCAGATGTTCAGACCATTTCAAAATGCACACAGTTGCTAGGACTTTTATGAGAATAAGGTAAACCCAAGAAGAGATGGTAACTGAGATATGTGTGTCTCTTCCTCCCTGGTTCTGTATTGTCCCACACAAACCTTGCTGCTGACCTAGAAACCCAGGAGGTAATGGTAAAGGGCAAGAGCTGAGGATTGTGGTGAGATCTGGACTCTAGGTATTGAGAGAAACACTGAAGAATTAACTCAAATTTTCTAACATTGTAATTTCTGTTGTATGTTTTTGAGTGGCAGACTAAAAGGTATATGAAACACATTCCAGGATTTTGTTTTTCCAGAATCATAAGTTTTAAAAATGGAAGAACTTTGGGGGATCTAATCTACTCACTTCATTTTTACAGATGAGCAAACTGATGCTCAGAGAGGTTAAGTGACTTATCCAAACTCATATAGCTAAGAAAGGCAAAATCAATACTAGATTCTACTTCTAAGCTCTTCCCACTATAACATTCTATTTCTACTTTCTGTTTAAAACTATCTGCACAATTTTTATGTTACCCTAAATATGTTTCTCAAGTCCACGAAACATTCATTTATTTAAAACCACCTTTAAAAGTAAAATTCTGCCTGAAACCATTACTCCCTGCCATCTAACTATCCCCCACCCACTTCTACACAGACACATCCACACAGCTTTGCCACCACTCATTTTCTCAAACTCTAGTGCCCTGGTGCATTGCTGAGTGTGAAGCTGCAGACAGGGACCAGCAGAAGGAGGCTGTAGGAGCAGGCAGGCACCTGATCCTGTGGTGGGAGGAGATTGGAAGGCGTGGTAAGGAATTTAAGCAGTTGTCTAAATTGTGATGGTTGTCTAGAGAATGGATTTGAAGAGAACAAGACTGGATGCAGAAAAATTAGAACACAGATGCAGTGATCAAGATAAATAAATTATAAAAAGATGAACTGAAGAATTTGCAGGTAAAATTGACAAAGCTTTATTGGATATGAAGAGTAAGTGAAATGGGGGAGTCAAAGATGACCTTCTAACTTGTAGATGGTGGTGCCGCTGAGAAAATGAGGATTTTGAGGTGGGAAGGAATTGATGGCAAGTTCACTTTGGTACATGTTAAACTTGAAGTACAGGTGTCCAGCAGAGTGTTGAGGACACCATCATGATGCTCAGGAGAGAGGTCTGAGTTACAGAGAGCGCACTGAGTAGAACCACCACACGAGGCCTCCCGCGGAGTTACAGGAATCAGGGCTGGACACACAGGCAGAACCCAGTCCTTGGTGTTTGAGGTCTTGTCTGAAGCATTAGGGAGTTTAGACTTCACCTTTCAGCTTATGGAAGCCACTAAAGTATTTTAAGCAACAGAATAATATGAACAGATCAGATTTAGAAATGATTGTAGTGTCAGAGTGGAAGATGACCTGGAGAGAGGAGGGGATAGAGGCAAATAGGACATTGAAAAGTTATTTAAATAGAGAAGAAACTTCGCAGAAAAAAAAGGGGGGAATAAATAAATAAGAATAAAAAATTATTAGAACCTGAACATATTATGGCAGCAACAATGTTTTAAAAGGGAAAAAAGAATCAAGTAATATCTATGGGGATAATTCACAAATTTAACAAATATATGTGGCAGAATAAAAATAAATATATTTGGGGTATCCCCCAAAAATGTATACACACACTTTGAATAATTATAACGGCAGTGCTTATTAAAATACATTTTATTTTCAAAATTGAACTATCAGCTGTTAAGGTGTATATACATTTTTTGGGACACCCTGTATATGTGAAAATGTATGTGGCTAAGGCAAATAAGGAGATAAAAACAGGACTGTGGATAGCATTGTCATGTAAGAGATTGTCTGAGAAACAGGTATTATGGAAAGGAGCTGAGGAGGCACAGCCAGATGTGTGGAAGAAAACCCAGGAAAGCAGGTGTCACACAACCCAAGGCAGGAAAGAGTTTCAGGGCAGGGAGCGGTTGTCAGTGTCAGATGTCACAGGTGAAGTCACTGGATTTAGCGGTTAGGAGGTGACTGTTACCCCGAGCAAAGGCAGCTTCAGGGAAATGGTGAGAAAAGGATTCTGATATGTTTTAAGGCAGAAAAGGATCCTGGCAGCAGTGGGAAGAGGAAAGAATGAATGGAAGGTGAGAGCAGACCGCTCTTAGGAGCTGGTTTGTGAGGGAGCGAGAGGGTATAGAATGACATTGAAGGAGGGAAATTCAGGGAAAAGGGAGGACATTTGTTGGGGCCTTTTTGTTTGTTATTTATTTTGAAAATGGTTGAGGCTAGAGTATATTTATAAACCGAGGGGTAGAAAGGCAGGTAAAATGTATAGGAGAGCTGGATTTCGCAGAAGCCAAGCCCCAAGAAGGGAAGAAGGGGCAGGATCAGCCAGGCTTGCAGAGGGCTTGCAGAGGCTGCACCTAGACCAGAGCGCCCGGCGGGTTCCCGAGGAGCAGAGCCTGGGAGGGCCCCGGGGGAGCGCAGGGAGCTCGTGACAGATGGCAGTCAGTCGGCAACAGGAAGAGGTGCTGAAGTCCAGAGTTCAAGTGAATGATAGGGTGTCATTTCCTTCAACGACGTGGGAGTTGAGCGGCCCTCTCTGCCCTGTGATAGGGGCTTGCTATCATAAGGTGGATCATATGCTGCGAATCTCACCGTCCTCTCTGGTCCTTACCTCAAAGCCCACTTAGCTTTCGTCCTTGCCTCTCTTTCCACTTGCCCTTTTCCCCACACCCCCCCTTTTCTTCCGTTTGATTACTGTCCTGTATATAATTCTGTCTTCCCCCTGTCTTATCTGCACGCCCATCTCTCGCCACTCCATCTGTTCCTTTTCTCTTCCCCTCCTCCTCAAACTAGCCAACACAAGGAAACTACGTCAGTTTTTCTTATATTTATTGAATAAACATTTGTTTCCTGGGTTTAAAACAAATAAGATGAAGTTTTCTATTTCTCTCTCTAAAATTAAAGGTGCACTTGAGTCTCAGCTGGCTTTGTTCTGTTGGTTAATGGCCCTTGATCAAATAAACCTTCCGCACCTCTGTCAGGGCCTGTGGGTAAGGAAGCAGAACTTCTCGTGTGTAAGAGACACGATGTTTATTTTGCACACACTGTTGACTCCATGAGAAAGAGAGGACTTAAATGTGACAGTCTTAAAGACAACATTGTGTCTTTAAGTGTTTGTATGTGCTGTACTAGTAAAGAAAAATAAATAACTCAGGAAAAAACTCAGAAAATTCATATTGATGTCCATTCATTCCGTTACAACTGGAATTCAAGTGATAGGGGAGAATTAAAAATAAACAAACTTCTGGCCAAAGAAAACTGGGTGCTGCTGGAAATCTCATGCTGTCTGTTGCTAGCTAAGAAAAGCAGGGTCTTTTTTGTTCCCCTGACCTGGTAATAAGCAGAATTGTTGCCCTGGTAACAGCAGGTGGCACTCCCCACACTAAGAGAGCGCTACCTAGCCACACGCAGCACTGCAGGTTCTCACCCTGGCCTGGAGCATCTCAGGAGCACATACACCACTGTATTTGACACTGCCTTTGGCTCTTTTTTAGGTGACTTAAGGCCACAAGCCTATCAACCGTGCTTCAGCAGAACCAGTCCTTGACACTGAAGATGATTTCTGTTGAGAGTAGATATATAAAAATTGCATCCATCGCTAAATTCTGAGCCCAGTCTGCCAACAACCTAAATCGTTGGTCGTTACCTCTAGAAATAGTGCTCAAACTTTATGACTTTTAAACAACACTTCCAATTATATACTTCTTACTTAAATGTTCCCATGTGCCTTTTCTAAAGGAATCTTTAATAAAATTGTTTAAACGAATTCTTATAAAACGAAAATTAGGTGTGGCGAGAAAGATTCTTTAGACAGCAAAAGGCTATGAATCTGGGGAGAGACCCCAGAAGAAGTTCAGGTTAAAATTCCCAGAAGTTCGGGTTCAGATCCCCAGAAATACAGGCCGCCTTGCTGGGGTGGGAGCATGTTGTTCCCCAGGAGTGGACGTTGAGAGTGTGCAGTGAGTTTGTATGAGTGATCTTCATGTCTGAAGACGAGGCGAAGCCCAGAAAGAATAAAAGGCTAAACCAGCCATTACAAAACTGTAGTGAGGACCAAACTCATCTCTGCATTTTCTAGCCTCTTGGACTGTTTCACATACGTTCATTCCAGGCAGCTCTCTGTGCTACAAATGTCTGCTTCCCGCGCGCTCCTCAGCCTCTCCTTCCCGCAGCGCTGGACCGTTGCTGTCTTTCACAGAAGAGTGAAAGCACCTAATAAAATAATTCCCAGTAAATTACTAACTGGAGAGAAAATAACTCCATTATATCCTTTTGGTGCTATTTATTTACTTTCATAGACACTTGTGCCTTGGGGTTCTCTTAAGATTTTATAATCAATAGTAAAAGAGATCCTGAAGGCAAGGCTTAACCCAAGTAGGATGAAATCTTGGAGAATTTCAGCCAGCGAGGCAGACAGTTGGGGAAGTGCTTAGGGGCAGGAAGAGCATATTCCTTTCCCATTGTGATTAGCTATTCACTTTTTTTTTTTTTTTTTTAAAT